GCTGGCCATTGTGCGGTCCGGAATGCCAGGCGCTGGACGAGCACAAGGCCGAGTGCCAGCTGACAGAGGCGCGTGGCCAGAAAGTCAATGTGCAGGAGTTCAATGGACCGCATCCATTGTACACCTGCGTTAGCACGGTCAGGTGTTTGCTTCTCAGCGAGACGAATCCGGCGAATGCTGAGAAATTCCAACAGCTGGAGTCGTTGGAGCAGACACGGCGTGGCTCTAATCAATGGAAGGCGGATCTGGCCAGCATCGGACAGTTCATACCCAAGTAAATATAGATATAAATATATATTTAGAGATAATTTATATTTTTAACTGTTCCTTTCGTAGATTCTTTCGCACTCAGAAATTCAGCGAGGAGGAGATCATGCGCGCTGTGGGCGCCTTGCAGATCAATGGCCACGAGGTACCCACATCGGATCCGCCGCACGTTGCCGTCTTCTATACGGCCTCCTTCACGGAAAACTCCTGTGTACCCAATCTCGCCAAGAGTTTCACCAAGAACGGCCACTGCATCCTCTGGGCCCCAAAGGCCATCAAAAAAGGCGCAAATCTTAGCATTTGCTACTCGGATGCAGTGTGGGGCACAGCCGATCGTCAGCGTCACCTGATGCAGACGAAGCTCTTCAAGTGCACCTGCGAACGTTGCGTGGATGTCACCGAGCTGGGCACCTACTATAGCGCGCTCAAGTGCGAGGATCGCAAGTGTACGGGTCTGCTGCTACCCATCAAGGCGGATGACTGGAATGGCTGCTGGCGGTATGTCTACAGATTCTTGCCAATTCGTCAAACTACCCTCGTTCAATATTAAACTTATTCCCTTTTAGCTGCCGTGATTGCCAGAAGCAAGTTCAGCGCAAATATGTGGATGGGATATTAGAACGCGCCATCAAGGATATTCAAAGTATGGAAAAAACAGCAGAAAATGGTTTCAAGTAGGTTTCGTATTAACTAAATTACAATATTATATAATATAGGTCTATAATATCTCTTCAGATACTTGAAACACTATGAGAAATGGCTCCCCCCACAGCATTATCATCTCAGCGAGGTGAAAATTCTGCAGGTGCAGCTCATTGCCAAGGATCAAAAGGAGCTAATGGTGTTGCCCGATGAGCAGCTGCAACTGAAACTAAAATATGCTAAGGAATTGATTGAGCTCTATGAGATCTTAGCGCCGTGTAAGTGAAAATCGAAATATCTAATATAATGTATACGTAGCGTATACTAAATATATTTATTGTTTAGGTGAAGTGCGTATGCTGGGCACCCTTTGCTTTGAGCTGCATTCAGCAATTGCTGAACACACGCGACGCGTAGCTCTCCAATCGAATCTGTCTCCCAAGGAAATGTTGGAGGAATCATTGCTGTATGTGGAGAAGTGTGTTAATTATTTGCAGTACGAATCGGACATATTTGTGGAAGGTCACATTTTAAAGCAGGCAAAAATCAATCGCGACGCTTTGCGCATGGTCATTAGAATATCTTAATCACTCTTCTTTGACATTTTTTATTGATTATTGTGAAAAAAGAAAACAAATAAACGCGCTCTAAATAAACTGAACATACCTTTATAGCATTCAGCTATTTGTCACGTTGTTCATAGCAGTCACCTAACTGAGTCAAGCATTTTATTTGGTGTTGCCAATGGGCTACGCTACCAGTGCTGTAAAAGCCTTTCGAGCACTGACTGTTAAATTTGAAAATCAAACATTCAGCAATTGAAGTGCGCAGACTCGTTTCTTATATTTACACTTACATTACTGTTTGGTTTGTATCTAGCAAAGGAGATTTCAAAGTCAAATATATCCTTGAGCTGTACGCCGTGCGGCAACGGTGGTGTATAACAGTGTTAAAGGATTTGCAAGCAAAACAAGTAGCGCAAAAAGTAATTGCATTTTTTAACCGCTCTTAAAGGCGTATGCGAAGTTAACATTAATAATATTCCCTATTTTGATACAAAATAAAACAAAGATTTTACAACTGGAAATCCTACAAGTAACTACGATTTGATTACAATTTTTATAAGGTAAGTTAATCAGAATAAGTAACATTACGCAATTCCTTGGCGACATATGGACAAGACGGTAACTGTATAGATGTACTCTTAATTATATACAAACACACAATTAATGTACATAAAGACGTCTCTAATTTGGCTGTTACCTTTGCATGTTATTGGCATATGCCGTTACTGTAGCATATTAACTGCGTAATTCGTACCAAAACTGGGCGTCTGCGTGAGCAAACATACATACATACATAATACATTCATACAAATATTAGTACATGTCCACCAACATAATACATACCTGACTTTGTTCACGCCGTAATAAAACATTATTGAATTCTAATCTAGTAATCAAGCCATCTCGTGCATAAACAACTCTTCCAATGACCATCGAGTGCATAGTAAATAAATAAGCTACTCATGGCATCCTATCAGCCCCTGGATATTCCACTCAACAATGAAAGTGTTCCAATCTACGAAATGAAAACAAAAGAAAACCACATTTAATTTCTACAAATGTACATACATATGTATATATATGTATGTGTTTTCGATGGTTATAAATTATTTTCATATCAATAATTATAATCACAAAGCGTGGACACTGATCGTCAACAAAGGGTCTAAAAATAGCATCGTCTTGTTGTAGAGTTCATTCCGATTAAATGCAAACGATTATAATCAAATTTAATGTTCCATTACTGCATAATTTGTAATATGTAAATCAAGTGCCCAGGCTAAATCAAATGTGGGGTGACTAAGTCGTTAAAAGCAAGTGGACTACATTTTCGAGGACCGATGGCGCCAGCACACAGAATGCATAGTCGATCATTGTTTTCATGGTATTATTAAAATTGAATGGAGAATTCCATTTTCAATTAAAGTGTGGCTCAACAACAAATAAATAAATAAATTAGCATTTGAATAAAAACTTCCATGCGCTGATCTCGCAAACAATTGACATGTGTCTACTCTGCCATTGGCATTATTTCTTTTATTAAAGATGAAAGTTAAATTGAAAACATAAATTGAGCTTAATTAATGGATAAATGTGTGCGTAACTGTGAAGTAGCCATAAATTCATTTCGCAATGTCGCATTTTATGGGACTTTCGCTCTTTTTCGGCCTGATCTGCATATACGCGTGTACATTACTTACTACTTACATTTACTTGCATGTATTTAAAAATAACTATGTATATACATACATACATATGTGTATACAAGGAGATTCATTCTCAAAATGTGGCTGCTATAAAATTCATTATGTTTACATTTTAAGTGTTGCGTAAATTCTTACTGCCAAAAACTGACCTCATCGCATTTCAATGAAATTTACAAATGATTGCTGAGATTTTTATTATCAGGATGTAAAGATATTAATACTTGAATTTATGCATATGTGTATGTATGTATTTATGTATGTATTTCAAGTGTGGCAACAAAGAACAAAGACAGTTTTACGCACAAAAGAAGATGTTTGTATGTACATATGTATGTATGTATGCATATTGCGCTTTCTATCTCCGCATTCTTTTTTGCGAGGAACATTTCTATAGCTTGCGAAGTAGCGGTCGTCCAATGCCCGAATGCGCTTTTATCCCAGCTAAGCGTAGTTTGAGGGTGAGACTGAGAACCAAAACAAGAACCGACAGAGAGCCAGGTAAAGCGACAGAGCGAATGACTGACAGAGTGAGAGAGAGAGCGCGACAAAGTGTGTGAGAGTGAGCAGTTTGCCGGCTGGTGTGCTTTGCACGCGCTGAGTGCGTGATAATCACGCAACGCTCACATGTTTGCTGTCTGTTGTAGCTGCTCTTGCTGTTGTTGTTGTTTTGGCAGTGCTGGTGTTGACCCTCATTTCCATTCAAACATCGCTCTTACTCGCTTTAACAAACAAAAAAGCGAACATACAACATACATACATAATTCGAATAGTTTGTGTGTGTGCTTCGTGCTTGTATGTATGTATGTATGTATATGAATGGGAATATGGCTGTTGAGTGTGTGCATAATCGATGTAATTGTGTATGTACAAAGTTGTTTATTTGTTTTTGATTGCAAACAACTAATAAATAAAATCTTCTGTAATGTAAATATAAATTATCAATGGATTGGGTTCTATCTCAGTAGCTGTCTTACTACGTAATGCCCCACGCAACGGATGGGAACGTGACTAATTCAGCGTTTGATTTTATGTCACAGTTTGTATACATGTATTTCTAAATATATTAGATCATTTAAAAATACTAAAGTTGAGGATCCCCTTGACAACTGGTCCACGCGACGCATTTCTGTTTATATTTGTTTTGATTATAAATTTGCCCCTATAAATATACATATGTACATATGTATGTATGTATTCATTGTATCTGTAGTAAAGGGAATATAGTATACAATCATTGTTTTTATTTTTTACTTTGATTTTGTTTACGGATTACGTCGGGTTGTTTTGTTGAGAATTTTTAATTCGATTTGCAGGCATACATATGTATGTATACACATATGTACATACATACATATATACAGAAGCGAATGAAAACAAAAGATAAACAATAAAATACTGGATGCTCTACACTGACAAAAATGATAATGTTAATAGCCTTCACGGCAGATATTGAGTTAAATATATTTCATATTTTGTCTACTTTTGTATACTTTAGTTTTATTTTCTGTGTATGCATATTCAAAAATACATTAGAACTTTTGTTAGCCAAGCATCTATAGCCAATAAATATGTTAAATGTATCTCAGTGTGCACGCTCAGTGCATGCATGGCATGCATGTGCAGAAGTTGTATACGTGTGTGTAAGTTCAGTGTACATGAGCGTATGAGTGTTACTGTGTGAGTGTGTGTGTTTAGCTTTTGGATTTTTCAACTCATTCCACAATTGTTGACACCAACGCTGCTGCCGTCGCCGTCGTCGTTGCCGTTGACGTCGCTGCTGCCGGCTTCATTTGCTTTTTAGAGCGAGCATCGACTGGGAAAAATTTCAGTTGTTCTTTGGAAGTGCGCTCGATAAGTCCAGTGCTGGAAAGAGTAGTCGCAGTTAAAAAACAAAAGAAAAATCTCGACGTTTGTTGAGTAAACAGTGTCAAAAGTGTTTCAAAAATAATTCGAGCAAACAAATTTAACAAAGTTTACGGTTCATTAAAAATAAATATAAGCATTACTAAGGCTAAGTTAATATAATAATAAATATGCCGGTCGACATTTGCAGTCAGCAGCAGCATACAAATATGATAAGCTCCCTAAGGTAAAGCCCCTATCAAATTACTTTATAGACTTCTCAATTGATCCCATAAAAGTAGAGTTTTAAACGATTTCCTTAATCAGAGTGAACAACAATTAATTTTGATGAGGTGAATGCCAATTACACTCAATCATTAATATTACAAATCTATAATAAATATGATACGCGTGCACCGAGTTCTTTAACCTAACGGGTTAAGGTGCAAATCTTTAAATCATGCTGTCAAACGAATTAATCAATATAAACAATAAATGTGATCGGGCCAAATGGTCAATAAATAAAACATATCGAAATTGCTGTAATAAATAGAAAAGTTCTCTATTGCATATTTATATATTTTTATATATACTGGCACACCTGACCTTTTTCGTACATACCTGACAAACGTGTCCACTTAGCAATTGAATAACAAAAACTGTTGTTTTCTTACATTAAAACAGCTTATTGTAGTTGGCATTGAAATCAAGATTATTCTATGTAGGAAATCAAAGAAAAGTTGTTTTTCTAACAAATTAAAAATTATGATCGCATTTAAAATTGCAAAGATTAATTATTATCTTATGTCGCTCTTCAAACAATCCTCTAAAGTGTTTACGTTGTGTTGTGTAATGAAAGCCAATGCGAAACGGCCTTGTTCCCAAATGGGGACTAAACGATAAAGCGTTCGCGTTTAAATAAAAAAATAAATAAAATTATTGATAAAAAACTTGTAATAGTACATAGAGTATGTAGATGTTAACTTGTAAGATCGCTTTGTTTTTATAGAAATTTTTACTTTAAAATTTAAAATTTGTACACTTTTAATAAACAATAAAATTTGTATATAAAATATATTATTTTAATTAATATTGTTTACTACCAATACAATTTTGTAAAACTCTTTAAACTTTATTTTTATTATTGCCTGAAATGAACATTTAATTGTTAATTTAATTTTTTTTTTTTTTAATTCTATTAAAATTCGATCTTAGCTGTGATAAAAAACTTATATTATACATATTTAAATATATATATATTATTATTATATATATATATATATATATATATATATATATATATATATATATATATATATATATATATATATATATATACATATGTAATTTTATAGGTACACATATGTATATTCCAAATATACAAATTAAATTTTCTAATAGAAATGCATATACTTATTGATATATATATTTCTGATCTTGCTACGACCTCTATACACTCTCATAGAAATATATAAAACTTGTCATGAGCTGTTGCTCTTAATGAGAATAATTAAACGTATATTGTATATATCAATATATATTTTAAATGAATCCATTTTTGTTTCTTTTGCAGCGGAACAACAGATACCTCTTTGTCGCTTAAGGCACTTTCCTTGACGTCTGCTCTACCGCCGACAGATCCCGATCATCCACATCACAACATGAACAAATTGTGTCGTCAAGTGTCAATTGAATCACCCGGACCGGGTGTTAAGAATTGTGTTTTTAATTTCTTTGTGCCCATCGAGGATACGCCAGCACATGGCGCCCGCATCAAGATCGTCTGCGCCGGCGCCTGCTATCGTCGCCGCGATCGCGCCAACTCGATAACCAGCGTATCGTCTGTCTCGTCGGAGCTGAGCGATTACTGTCCGTCGGTGACGTCGATGTCATCGCCGGCTCATCAGGGCATACGTGAGGGCTCATTCTTTCCGGGCTTTGAGGTGGCGGGAGTGATTGAGTCGCTCGGCTCCGAGATCACAGAGGCCAATAACTGTGGCCTGCGCATTGGACAGCGTGTTATTGTCTATCCATTCGATGAGACTCCTGCCGGCTATGCAGAACTCCTGGTGGTGCCCGATCTGAAGTACATTGTCCCGATACCGGATAATTTGCCCATGGAGGAGGCAGCGATGCTGCCGACAGGTGCATTGCTGGCCATGCACGCTGTATTCAAAGCACAAGCCGTTGTCACGGAAATCCTGAATCAACGTGCCGAAACGGATCCCAATAAGAAGTGCAAGATCTTGATTGTTGGCACTGGTGGTTTGGCCCTGTGGGCAGTACGCATTGCAACCTATCATTTCGCATCAACTGGTGCACACAACGTGGACATCACAGTAGCCAGTCTGAGGGACGAGGGTTTCCGTCTAGCTACAGAGATCAAGAAGTGAGTATATATAAACATTTCCAGCCAAGACTCTAAACTAATTAAATCATTTTCTTATCTGCAGTGTCAGCGTGGTGCAATGGAACGAGTGTCTGTACGAGCCACAGCTGATTGAGCGCACCAAGGATGTGTGCGGCGGTCCTGTGGACGTGGTCATTGATTTTGGCACAACTTCCAGAAGTCTGCATCGCTCCATGCACTGCCTGTCCAAGGGCGGTGTTGTGCTCATCAGCGAGGAGGTGGCCGAAAAGCTGTTACCAAAGTTCTCTAGATTATCGAATGAGTATCAGCAGGAGATAATACCAATATCGAATGGCACCGTGGAGCAGCTTGCTGAGCTGGTGGAGCTTGTGGCTAGCAGAAAGATCGAGCCGCCACCATATTCCGTATTCCCATGCGAGCAGGCCGCCGAGGTTATACAGAAACTGATCAATTCCGAAATACCCGGACGCGCCATTCTACGCTTCCACGATATTGAATAGATCCTTAAAGTCTATCAAAGCATTAACTCATCTTAACTTCAATGAATATCTCTGTTAGTTTTACTCACAAACACACACAACCACTCACCCACTCACACACAGACGCAAAACATTTGCCGTAAATTAGCGCAGCAAAACACACCTTTACAATATGTGCTTAATATTCGTAGCAAGTATTCAGTTTTTGTAATAGTTATTTGGATTAGTTTTCAATTGTTTCGAAAACAACCAGTGATTTTTCATTAATTTTTTTATACATTTTTATTTATTAAGCATTGTTTAGTATTATATTTTGTATGTATATATGGATTGTGATTGATTTTAATTTAAGCAACAACAATTAACGACTTGATTTGCATTCAAATTTTGTAGTTGACGTCGTTTTATGCTTCAATGTTTTATTTAATTGGACGTTACAAATCACATGCCATTTAAATAGAAGCGAAGTAACAAAAAGAGTTCAGAATAAATGTTATATAAAATATTAAAAAAAACACAAAAAAAAAAAGTGAAAATTGTTATGCATGCAATGCAAAAATGTTTGATTCGATTTGCTTAATATTTGTACTCATTACGTACCCAAGAAAAAATTGACATTATATTCAACTACCATTAACCAAAAATAAAAGCGTACGCATACCAATATACCAATCTACAAGCCTCTCTTCCGCTACTCTCAATTAACAAGACATATTCTTTTTGCCATGCTTAATCTTTAAATGGTGATACAGTCCAGAGTGCTGATTAAATTTAGCATCACACTGTGAGCATTTGTAGTTTCTCCCTTGCTGATGACGTAGCTTGTGGCGGGTCAGTTCTTGAGAGCGCCGGAACGTCATATAGCATATGCTACAGACAAAGTCTCGCTGCTCTGAGTGGGAACGCATATGGTCGTTTAAGTGGGTTAATCGAGCATAGTTCTTGGGGCACTTGCTACATAGGTATGGTCGTAATTTATCGTGTGACGCGCGTAAATGACTCTGAAGCTGAAAGTGCTCCTTGTAAATTTTTCCACATATATGACACATTGAACCCTCTTTTTTAGCTTTCCGCTTGCCAGACTTTTGCTCTTTTGGTTCTTCGATAGGGTTTAGAATCGAGTCACCTATGGTACTTTCCAGATTTAGTCCAAAATAATACTCTCTTAATATCTCATCTTCCGCCAATTGAAATTCCGTCTTTAATTGTAAGAATAATAATTGCAATCATTGAAAAACTATGTATATTTCTTTTCGTTTATTACCTCAGTTTTGAAAAGGTGCAAAGACAAATCTTCTTGTACGTTAAAATTTTGTCTTAAGGCTGGCTTAAGAAGTTCTTCTTCTTCAAACGAATGTATGCGCGCCAAATGTTTTTGAAAATGGGTTGTGGTGTAAAATAAGCTGTCGCACATAAAGCATTTTATGGCTAATTCCTTGTAGGGCTCTTTTGATAAAAAGAAACCACAAGTCCACAAATCCTCCATTGTCACCTCCTCCTTAGCTCCTTCAGGATGATTCATTAATTATTCAGTGTTGAGGGAGTTAGATACCAGGGCTGCATACTTCTCAACAAGTTCATCGATACATCGTGCTCAAAGTATCGATCGTTCAAGCAGTATTTGTTTTTGCGCCAAAACGAATGTGCAGCGCGGCAAACTGCTGATTTTATTGTTGTAAAAAAAAGACAAAGTAGAGCGCAACCCATTTTTTGAATAGCTGACAACGAATAATTGCTTGACTACATACACAAATCGTGATGGTTAATAACGAAAATGCAAACATCGCTGCTCAGCAGGTCATTTGGATCGGCAGCCACGAGCAGAACACATTTATAAAAAGTCTGGAGCATAAGAATGTATATTTTTACAAAAAGTGCGTCTACGGTCCATTAACATTATCAGTGGGTGACTATATACTGGTGGCCAATGCAGATTCAGCCGAGCCCGACACAGTAGACGGCTGCGACATCGCTAAGATCTTACATCTGTACGAGCTGCGGGAAATGACAGACAAAGAATCCTGTCGAGCTATAGTACAGTGGTACTCCCGCCCGCAGTGCATACCGCATAGGTTCTTCGATGTGGACAATTTGGACATAGACTTTGGAGTTGAGATTATTGAGGAGCATCGCTATTACGACAACGACGTGGCTTTGGGCTGCATACTGCGCAAGTGTCTCGTACTGGAAGGAACCTCCGATCAGTCTGCCCAGCAGATTATTAGTAAATATAAGATCCCACGCAACTGTCCCATGTTTGTGTCTCGCTATAAGTTTCTAAAGGTAAAGAACACTTATCGCCTTATACCGCTTGAAATTCAGCTCGATGGAACGGAGTCGGCGCGCAGCAGGCGCTCGGTCCGAGAACCCTCCTCCGCTTCAGCGCGCAAATCCGTTTCACGAAGACGTGTCTCCACAGCTGCCGAGAGCCAAACACCTGTCGAGTTCGTCGATGTCAACTATTACAATTGTGAGAACAAAGTGTCGCCCATTAAAATTGTGGGCGGCCGCAGTGTGGTGCGTCTGTCGGAAAAGAAGAAGAACAAAGCAACAGAGGCAGCAGAGTCGGAAATCAATGCCAACTACTTAATGGCCTCTCCATTGACTGAAAAAAATCAAAAAGTTATGACACCCAAATCACGAGCCTCGGCAGCACGTCGCAACTTGAACTTGAGCCTGGACAAAGGAGCAGACACCACAGCTGATTCGGACTGCTTGAACTATTCGATTGTACAGCAAACGCCAGATCCCAAGACTCCTTCAAATGATATGAAGATCAAGCTGCGCGTCTCCGAGCGTAGAAAATCAGTGCGTCTCGAATCGCTGGATGATGGTTGTGATCCTCTAGATGTCGCCCAAGATACGCCGAACAGCAAGCAGCGAAGGAAGCGTCTGGGTGTCACCAACGGAGATATATATCATACGCCCACTAAGAAGTCCAAGGAGCTGCTGGAGCCTGTAGGCACGGACGTGACGCCCTCCACGCGTCGTAAAAGTATTCTGAAATCCGCAACGACACGCTTGGGTAAGTAGCTATCCACCTAACGTGATACTTATACTAATGTTATCTCTTCTTTGCAGCCGAGGGCACGCCTAGGCGCAGCATTCAGCTGTCCAACATTGTGGAGCAGCGCATATTCAATGACAATGAGATTATTTCTACGCCCAAACGCAGTCGGTCGAAACTCGCAGACGAAGTGGTCGATGCAGATTACACGCCAAAAAAGTCTAGCCAAAAGACACCCACGCGTCCTCGAAGATCGAGCACCACCAAACAGCCTTCGGCCACAAAGCTGAAAGAGCAAGCTCCCTTGACTCCTTCGCAGAAGCTAAAAAAGATACGCTCAGGCGAGTTGAGCCCCAGCATGGAGCAGCGGGAACAGCCCGTGGATGAGCGTCGCAAGTCGCAGTTGCAGCTGGCACGCGAGCAGCTCCACGTTTCGGTGGTGCCCAAGAGCTTGCCATGCCGTGAGAAAGAGTTCGACAACATCTACAGCTTTCTCGAAGGCAAGATTCAGGATCAGTGTGGTGGCTGTATGTACGTCTCTGGTGTTCCAGGCACAGGCAAGACGGCAACTGTCACTGGTGTCATTCGAACACTGCAGCGGCTGGTTGAGAAGGATGAGCTGCCCGCCTTTGACTTTTTGGAGATCAATGGCATGCGCCTGACTGAGCCACGGCAGGCGTACGTGCAGATCTACAAGCAGTTGACGGGAAAAACCGTTTCATGGGAGCATGCACACACGCTGCTAGAGAAGCGATTCACTACGCCAGCGCCGCGTCGCGTGACCACTGTGCTGCTGGTGGATGAGCTAGACATACTGTGTAATCGGCGGCAGGATGTCGTCTACAATCTACTTGACTGGCCAACCAAATCGGCGGCGCGACTGGTCGTGGTCACCATCGCCAATACAATGGATCTGCCCGAGCGTTTGCTGATGGGTAAGCAGACAAATACTTTTCATATCCCTCCAAGCAGTAACTAATCTCTGTATAATACCTTAGGCAAGGTTACGTCGCGTCTGGGTCTCACACGCCTCACCTTCCAGCCCTATACGCACAAACAGCTGCAGGAGATTGTCACAGCGCGTCTGGCCGGCTCTGAGGCTTTCAAGGGCGAGGCAGTGCAGCTGGTGGCCCGCAAGGTAGCCGCCGTCTCGGGAGACGCACGGCGGGCCCTGGACATTTGCCGGCGTGCAACGGAAATCGCTGACACAGCTGACGCACAGCCGGGTGGAATGAAGTGTGTGACGATGCTGCATGTGCAGCAGGCGCTGGCCGAGATGATAGCCAGTGCCAAGGTGCAGGCCATCAAAAACTGTTCGCGTCTGGAGCAAATTTTTCTGCAGGCCGTTGCAGCTGAGGTCACACGCACCGGTGTCGAGGAGACAACATTTATGGGCGTTTACACACAGATCGAGACGATAGCAGCGTTTATGGGCGTGGCACTGCCAGCGCCAGGACGTGCACTGCATCTATGCTCAAAGCTAGGTGCCGAGCGCTTAATAATCTCAGAGCACTCGCGTCACGATTTATACCAAAAGATTTTGCTGAACGTCAGCGCCGACGATATACACTACGCGTTGCGTGTGGAGAGCAATTAGGACTAGATTTTAAAGCTTCTAAATTATTATTTTAATTAAGCGTCATGTTTAAACAATTTAAAGTACAAACTCGTTGATAGGAATACCAAATAGAATACCAATACAGTATAACAGTCGTACAGCACTTTGGGTGAAAAGACGGAATAGATAAATAGATGATAGCGGAAAACTAGCATCAGGCAGAGGTAAAAAGCAACTGGTAACAATACGAGCGCCGCATACATTGGCATCACCAGCGTATCGATTGCCCTCGAATACGGCGGCTGGAGTTGAATGATGCCAACGCTACGGAGATCCGTGCGCAAGGTATGTACTATCAGGTAGAGGAAGGAATGTATTTCTGCGCTGTAGGTGTTCAGCGTGACAAAGAAGGCGACAATGCCAGGGTTATAGCTGGTCTGGCCCATGTAGCCGGGATTCAGATCAATGGTCGACAGGCTGTTCGAGTTGCCCTGATAGAAGTAGAACATTCTGGCTATCACAAGGGTCAAGATTATTTTGTACACATGCACTACGCGCACGGAGAACTTCCGCGCCGTGGAGCCGTACGCGTCGCATAGCTTGTATGTCTCGTCCAGTGTGATGAGCATGGTGGGCAGCAACACAACATTTTGCACCTTATACAGCAATGCGACTAGGATCAGTGAGCACGTCATATTCGTTTGGAGCAGCTTCAGCAGATTGCTTTTGGGCCGCTCATCCAGCAAGCTTTTTCCCGTGCTCTGTTGCGGTAAGACCGTACGATAGCCAAGCACAAAGACGAGAGCCACGCAGCACCAGAAGAGCACCAGCACGGGCAGAAGAATGCGCCCTCTGCAGTAGAGTGAAGATTAATATATGTACTATATAATATGCAATTGCATTATATCCATAACTTACACCATATAGGAAGGCAGCTCCACGAACTTCACCTGACCATTCAGGCCACGGAAACAGTAGACTAGTACGAAGGCAACGCCGTTAAATACCGTCTGCGGCGTATTCGTGAACTTGCGCAGGCGTGCCCAAAACATTAATAGCGAGAACAACATCAGTGTGCTCTTGATGGCCGATAATCTGTGTAGATAGCGCATCAGCACGAGCAGCAGGAGCACCACAAAGATCTTGCGCTGCTGCCAAAGACATGCTGAGGCAATTTTGTGCAAATGTCGTCCATCCAGCTCCACATTCGCTTTGGTAATGCGGCGACGCAGCGTCTTGAATGCAGTCAGCAGAAGCAGCGTGTTACCCAGATAATACCAGGTCTTGTATTCATATTCAATGAACGAGGACGAGCCTAGTGTACCCATGCGTATAGCGAAGCATAATAGCAAAGGGATCGGCAAAGGAATCGATAGTTTCAAGCGACGAGCATAAAGCGGCGGCAAGGCAATTTTGATTAGAGCCTGGATTACATCAATGCTCAGATAAATGGAGGCGACAATTGGCACAAGCAAGAGTAAGCTATTTAACATGGAGCTGGTCAATACTATATCCAGCAGATGGCAGGCTACATTCAGAAGAGCTCCAATTACCAGAGAGAGCAGCAGCTGAGCCGCTTTAAAGTTTTGCAAACGCAATTTCTCCGAGGCAATGTCCAGAAACAAAACACTCAGTAAAAGGTGCAAGGTGCTCTAAAGAGGAGGGGAAACAGTTAAATAAAATATGCAGTTTGAATAGGATTATTTGTCAATACGTACGGCTGTTGTCAGTGTCAGTCCCACGGCTATAAATCCGTAATCAAATTTCACTAACGACTCTGACAGCTGGGCGGAAATCTCACGGGCCACGCGCAAATAGTTAAGCTTCGCATTTTGATAGTGCACATTGCTAGCTCCGCTGCCGTCTCCGGCCCGGAGCGGCTTCAGCAGCTGTTTATGGAGCAACGTGGCATTTTGATACCAATGATAGTAGTCTACAAATCAGTATAATTAGCTGCTGGGTGACAATCGTTCATTACTGACCCTACCACTGCGCCGGACACTCTCATAGCCAAATTTAACGCGT